AAACTTGCTGCTATATACAGGGTGTTTATTAATTGTGGGCCGATACTTCAGGATGTGAATATTTTGATGATTTTAGGAAGAAAAGTTTATATCAATGTATAACCTAAACCTCTTAGTTTTCGAGCTACAGGGTGTTACAGTTTTATTAGAAGAAAAATTACTTTTCTATATCATAATTTTCTTATTACACTAGATATTTTTATGAAATTTCGGACGTGGACGTTACTGGTAATAGTAGACTCTTTATTTTTGCCCCCCAAAAAAAGTGTTTTCATGCATGGTGAGTGCCTACCAAATTTCAACAAAATATCGAAAGCAGTATCAAAATGAACTTGGGAAAAAATTGTTTTGGTTTTTATTTTTTTACGCGGAAATGGTGCGTTGTACGAAAGTAAGTCTTCGGGCCGAATTTACCTCAAAATAAATGAGGATTTTAAAAATAATTTTATTTTTAGGAAAAAAAACAGTGGCGTACCATTTTTTCTTCAAACATATTCAGCTCAAAGACAAAAGTATTTAAAAAAATGGTTGGAAACGAGCGGAGCAATTAGCTTTGTTAATGGGCTAATTAGCTGGATATACAGTACGGGGCTTAATCTGAAATCAGCGAGGTTCGTTTAACGTTACACACACACACATACTCGTGAAATATATTTATTTCTTTTATTGGCGAACGTGCGAAATCGACATCTGTTTGGAAAATCGCTTTAAAGTGCTCGATTAATGGCGGCAAAAAAATTCTCCCATCGCGATAATCCGCGTTTTATTACCGCAATAAAACGAAATATTCGTTCACCAATCTTGACTCTTCATAGAAATATCGAAAAACTCTTTAAAATAAACTCAGAACTCTAACAATAACTACTGAACTTACACACTCAATTTTTATCCCGTCCTGACGTCATCGCTAGTTTATCTTGAGCGCTCTATATATAACAAACGGGCGCTATCCGTCAGTTCATCGATCGCGCTAAAATCCACTTTCTCCTTGATGTATGGGCGTCCGCGTGGGATGAATTGTCGAATTGATTTTCCAATCAAATAAATCGCCGTGCACTTCCCGATCCGCTCGGGAGAGAAGACCGTAAAAGGGCGACAATTTGGAGGCCGTAAAAATGCCCGCTCGTAAAATTTGTCCGCTTAAGGACGCAGGAAAACGTCGCAGGACTGCAGGAAACCCAGCTCGTAACTTTAAGTGGAAGCTTTCTTGATGGGGATGATGCGAAGACAATAAATTGGCGAATGTTGCGAACGATTTTGCGCATTATTAATAGAGATTATTATTTGCATAGATTAATTTTCTATGCATAGTATTCCGTATTAAGTGCGCTCCATTTGCATTCGCGATATCGAGTACATCGGATCAAGAAAATGATATTCCTACGGATATAAAGACAGTGACTTAATTGGCGTAATACGCGTTATTAAGAATACATTCGCACGTTCTCATTATGGGAATTTCTCCTTTTACAATTATTTCTAATGGTCGCCGTTCCTTTTGATTATATTGTGAATATTCATTCGCATCGAATGATAATGAGATTACACTGGAAAAAGTCGCCGATTAACCGGATAAAAACGGCTCCGCGTTCGCGTTATTAACCGACGAAGCTTTTCTAGTGTAACCGAATTTATTTTATTGAGCGGCGAAATCGATGGGAGACGCTGGATATCTGGCGAGTTCGATGATCCATGACTGATATCGTTCGACATATAATTTTTTTCATTGCTTACAACCAGCGGACTGTTATTTAAATAACGTGGAATTTACGACGACAATATTGTTTCTATTATCTTCGAAGCAGATCGTTGCGTGGTTACACTGAAAGAAATTCTTCGCTACAAGTTATCGGGCCCATTGAAACATCAATAATTTACCGAAGAATCCTGTTTATTGGAAGTTGTTTGATTAAATTAAATTAAATCTGTTTAAAAGAAACAAAATCAATTTACGTGTAAATGCGAAAGCGTAACAGTTATTACATAAATTAACAGTTAACTTTGTTATGGCAATTTGTATACAGCGGATTAATTACAATAAATCTGCTGCATTTCGATTGCTCTTTTTTCGAACCTCACGTGTCCGGAGTTATGCAGTCTAGAATTAAAATTTGAAGCGAAAAATCGTTGGAAATCCCGCAGACTGTGCATTTACTATTTATTTAGAATGTTTGCCGCCAATGCGGACGTATAAAGAGCAGCGGAATTGATTAATTCCGACTTACGTTCCGTTGTTACTCGACTCTTTCATTGGCTCTCCGACAATCTGATCCATTGTCTACGGTGAAACGAAAATAACAGACCGTGATGTATACGGGCCCCGTCTGGATTTTATTACCGAAAGATTAAAACTGCAGAGTACGTAAATCGATTCCGACGGGGCCGAATTAACGATGGAAAATCGCTTCAGTTTCGGAGGAAAATAGAGGAAAAGCGACTGGCGAACGTCTCGTTTTATCTCCGGAATAGAATCGGATTCATCAATGTCGCTCTGTGAAATTCCTGCAATGTTTGAATTGATCTCGACACCCTCTATAAAAATCGATTTGTATTTTTATTTTGGAAGCCCTGTATACATTCTAGTACGCGATATCTCATGCTCCGATATCTATTTAATTGCGACATTAACCTTATACGATCTCAATGAAAACAATAAGTAACTGTACTGGATAAATAGCTAGAGGTAAATATAATAACATGAGCGATCGCGGATATGACTAAATCGAATCTATCTATCACATTTTCTTTATCGATCTCCGATCGATTTTTCTCTCTGCTAATGGTTTCGATTTAGAAATCGTAGCAAAATGTCGCAATTTTTCGGAGGAATAGTTCATTCGAATTGTAAAACGAAACTGTAATTTATCTATGGTAATATTAATTTTAACCATTAATCACTAGTTGTAGAAAATTAGTTTTTTGATAACTCGTTATATTGAAACTTTGTTTATCTGACTAAATTAATATTTCGTTTAATTTCAGGTGAGTAAGCTGTCGAGTTCATCAAATCGAACGAAAAGCCTGTCGTAAGTAGAAATTGATTCATTTTTTTGTATGTTTACGATACCAAAAAGGATTAGGAAATAAATTCCTGTCGATTTAACATTAAAAAAAAGCAGTCGACTAGTAAAAAAAATCACCTACCTGACTCATGTTTCTGTTTCGGCTTCATTTAGTGCATTTTTCCGTTCGAGTGCGGCCCGTAATTTCACACTTAATTGTTTCTACCTGAATCCGAACGGCAACCGGAGGACCGTCTACAAATTATAACAAAATTCTTCTCTATTATAAAACGCGGTCAGCCCCATCTCACCGCATACAGGGTGTCCCTGCGTTACAGTACAAAAGTTAAAACGATTCTCTCGACTTTTACCATAGATATACGAGTACCTAGAGGACAAAGAGTATTTCTAATCGAGCGAAATGTCCGCATATGGACAAACTGCGTTCGGGCAACGAGACGCGAGTAAATAATAAATTTATTTTCCACGTCTAATAACTGTGACAAGAGATATTTATAACAACAGTCGGGAGGTATTGTAGCTAGTGAAACCTGCTCGCGCTCGGCCAATAAAGCACTTAGTTTAAAATGGTAAAAAAAGAGCTACACAAAAAAAAAGTCCACAATAAAAGATCAGGTCTGTTCGTTCAATTCGTTTTATCGATGTGCAACGGAGCGTCGCAGGATCGAACTCACCGTTGGTTTCCTTATGATCTCGGACTTGCAATTCATCTATACTCGCCAGGCGAAACGTCATGGGTCATTCTACGCGGGTTGGCCGATAATCCCACTTTTGCTTTGCTCGCTTAGATACACGTTTTCCAACAACTTCTATTATATTAAACAAGCTATGCGTTATTGGACCTATCGGAACCACAATTAACGATTTTTTTGCGAATTTTCGGTGTGGAACATTCGGTGTATCATTCGATTTAAACCGAAAATTAGGTAAGGTACAAAAAATGCTATTTAGAGAACAATGGTTTAATGTCTTATTTTCGAGCAATCGCTGTAATGTATTCAGGGCGAAAAAAAAATCTGTGACAAATCGTCGAATCGGAAATAATTTGGAGTATGTACAGGGTGTACAAATTGCTTTCAATAATAGATATATATATCTCTTTATAAAATTTCAGTGCTGACAGTGATTTATTAAAATTTAATTTTTCTGGTTTCTAGTATCTCAAAATACCTATAAAATACCTATGTATACCTACCACACACTTGTAGTTGTAATTATTGATAAAGTTTAAAATAGTATATTTGAGGTATTCAAATGCCTTGAATTAAAAAAAATCGGAGATAGGTAACCCAATTTCTAAAACAGTGTATTTGTGGTATTTTAAGGCCTGGAATTAGAAGACATATTCAGAGATACATGTATTAAAAAAGAACAGAAATCCGATTTCTAAAACAGTGTATTTGAAGTATATTAAGGCCTGGAATTAGAAGACACATTCAGAGATACATGTAGTCAAAAAGAACAAAAATCCGATTTCTAAAACAGTGTATTTGAACTATTTAAAGTCCTTGAATTAGAAAAAAACATTCGGAGATACCAACAGTCGATAAGAACAGCAACCCAGTTTCTACGAAATGACAACAAATTTCCACGACATAAAACTAAAATAATCGAACCTAATTTGTATGTATCTAGTACAAACAAGATTACAACGTGATCCATAATAGTACTATTCGAACATACAACCATCACTTTCGCCGATTTTTAAAATTGTGACGAATTACCGCAATTATTTACACACGCGGAGGTTAAACAATCATCAAAACAAAGTGATACGATTTCCCACGAGGATAAGGCGAAAAGGTTCTGCAGGCGCATCCGAAGAAAACGAACGGAGAGATCGAAACGGTAGATGAAGACGGTAAACTCGCCACTTTCCACCGGCGTTCGATGGAATGGCGCGCTCCTTCTTCTGTCAACGGCTCGCGCTCTTGCGCTCTTGCGCTTTGCGCTCCCGCCGCAGTCTCGTTTCGACCGGCATTTGTTACGCGCCCGGCCGTTATCTTATCGTTATCCGGTCGTTCGGCGGCGGTACCGCCCGATTTTCCTCGCCCGGTGCCCGACGATTCGCGGGAAAGTGTCCGCTCGCCCGGTAAGGAGGCCCCCCGACAGGTGCCGCTCTTCCTTCGGTCGCTCCGCAGGTGCCGTGGATGCTCCGAATATCGGAGAGTTTGTGGGTTTTTGTGAGTTTTTCGATTCAGTCGGATTGGCGATTTTGAAATTGATTGGAAATGCACGGCAAACGCGCGAACGCCGATCGGTGGTGTAATAAGAGCAAGTCGATCGTTTGTAAATGATGCAGAAATGTGAAAGGAATTTCAGCGATTTTAAATGGAACAATCTGTTTACTATGCGGATAATTTGTTGTTATGGATTCTGATTTATTTTAATGCGCCTACGTTGTATATATGCAAAATCCGGCACAACTTAATAACCGTTGATTCTTAATGATATTTACGACCGAAATCTCGAATGTATAAACATGTTTATTTAAAACGAAACCATAATTTCGCTTGGTGTATTATTCATAATTGATGTTACCGATTAAATTAACTTTGGACTAATTTTACCTAATAATTAACATAAATCACGCGTATACTAGAGAAATTTTGATTCGTTTGCACTGAAAAACTTTCATTACATTACTTCCTATTTAGGTATAAGTGAATAATTTGAATATTTGAAAGTCTAGTTAGTTTTATTAACATAATTCGGATACGGTTTCACTGATGCTCAATAATAATACCAGCTTTTTACTGGATAATAATTTCTAAACCTGAAATTATTTGTTTTGTTAGTGTATAATGAAACAATATTGTAGTCGTTCCCATTCAGTCGCTGTGAAACAATAACTTGTCAATAATTAATTAAAATATAAAAAATAAATACATTGTAAGCAATTTTATTGCCTCGTTGAGCTATTTACATATTGCTTTAATAACGGGATTGTTGTAATGTCCCATTAAAAACTTCATTAGCAAAGTTTGTTATTAGCTCATTGCTACATTAATTTAACCCCTTTATTGTTTGCATTATATTGGCGCAACGAATATTAACCTCATTATTTAAAATCCCCCAGCGAAAACGGCTTTTTATATTACCTACATACCTACCTAGTTTTCTTTTTTTCACGCATACTAGTCCAATAAAAAGAGTGTTATATTTTCATTATCTCCTTTAGTATTTTACGAGGGTAGTTAGAAAAATGCCTGTAACGATTCAATCGCCGCAATAAAGGTACATTTTCCTCATCGACGTCAGGCTTCCCGGGAATCTTTTACGAGTCTACGCGAATAAAAACAAACGCTAACCGTTTGCATATCGTCAAAGCCGTTTTTCTTCTTCCTTTTTTTTCCAGTTCCGTTTATCATCTTGTTTGGTATTCATAATCTGTGATATACATATAAAGAGAAGAATGCCAAGGAACTATGTATTATATTATAATATTGATAATGGGCTCACCATAAGAGAAAGAAGGCGTACGATATTTCTTACAGCGAACATTTAATGTAGACTATACGAGGTGGCCTCGATAAGAGGATTTCGAGAGCATTAAAAATCAATTTTCGATTCCGGAGCAACGCATACGCGCGTTTTCTAATAATTTTTTATTCACGTTGGTGATGATTGACTGCGGTAGTTTCAACTCCACCCATACGCGTTCCTTTGTACCTTGTAAATTACCTTGAATGCCTCTCTATAGGCGACTATATAGCCCACTATAAGCGTTCTGTTAAACACATAACGTATATTGAATAATACGAGATGCGTCCGATATCTATCTCGGAAAATTAGGCCTCAAAAATGTTTCACCGCAAATAAATAATATCGTTAACTGGTTAGAGTTAGACATAAATTTTGTTTATCTGAAATATGACAACTGTTGTGTCTTATTAAATTATATAAATTGCTGTAGGAATTTTTAATATGAGATACTGATTTTCCGTCGGAAACTGGTTTTTTTTTCGTTAATTTATGCGGCTCGAAATTAATTTAGTACGCTCATGATTATTTATAATACCACATGAATATTTATTGCGATAATAAATCGTAAAAAACGCTTAACCAAATTATGCATTTGTGGAAATCTCATCGAAGAGATATCGGGGGAATATTTCACGTGAAATCTTCTCTCGAATTCCCATTCGCACATCGACGTTTTCTTCGCATCGACTCGTTCGAAAATCTTCTGCAATGAGCATAAATTAATCGCCGGCGATTATTCGAAAGCCTCTTCGCGGGCGAACCGTTCGTCGGTAAAATCTCTGCACCTGACTCTCCGGAGCTCCGGGCATGCATTATGTGACGTCCGCGACGATAATCTGTCGATATACAATGAAAACGTGTCCGACAATCGCCGCTCCGCGGATAAATACCGGCCGTTTCGCGATAATAAAACGGCTGGCCGGCCGGCCGAGCGGACAGAGGCCGCTGAAAATTCGACGCCTCCTTTCGCGGTCACGCCGCCCGATTTACGAGTATAGCCCGCTCGTCGGGAGCGTTCGCAGGAAGAGCATCCAGCAGGAATCTTGCTGATTGCGGCCGATTTGATGGAGAACAAAACGGTCGAGAATTCCTCGAGATGTAGCTGCGATTCCTTCGGGTGTGCTCGTGCATCTCCATTAACAATGCGATATAAAATCGATGCAATTACAAGAAGCGGCCGTAATTGCGACCGTTCGAGCCACCGGCGGCTTTTGCGCTACCAGAACAGCACTCGTAAACTGGAGAGAAACGGGATTCCTGGTGGAATTGGGGAGTTTCGTGCGCGCTGATTCTCGGCGCTCAATGATTGGGATTTCATTGGGAAATATTTAAAATAACCCCAAGAAGTTTCTTTTTTCGTTAGACAAAATCTCGCGCTAAACAATCCGGTCCTGTACTCGTACTCCCGATTGTTTACTCTCTACTTTACGTTTGGATTCTAAGCAAAGCCGGTCGCTTAATGTTAATTACAGCAAAATGCCGTGTCTCCAAGCGAAATTGTAATGCATCTATTCGCATCACCCTCGTATCGAGCAGTGGTGTACCAGCACAAGCGAAGGTCAAAAAGTTAATACAAACTGGCCGTTTGAATAAATATATCAAAAATCTTATACTCGCTCGGGCCTCGCGCTAGGCAGGCATAAAGCATTATAAATATTCGCCCGTGTCTATTCTAATGCGATTTATGTACCTCCGTACGAGGTCGCTTCGAATAGTTCGCGAAACGGCTTCTCGTGCGGATAATTAACCGGAGGCCCGTTCCATCGAAAAAATTCGATACAGGTAGCGAGAATGTCAACCCGACGAAATTGACTGATAACCGACGTCGGGCGAGCGCGGTGTAATCTCTCGTGTCGAGTTCGCGGATTGAGAGATAACTCGCCCGGCTCTAATCGGATTAAATTGGGAATTATAGAGCTCGTTCTGGGTACGACTTTTCTCCCGTCCGATTTCTGACAATTCGACGTTAATTAGCGCGCTGCTCGGAGTTAATTAGGCGACGTTACAAGTGTATTTCTTCGAGAACGAGTCGATTTTAATGGTGCCTTTTTTGTTCCTCTGTGGTACTCACTAATTTGTTATTTAATGATTATATTATGTAGGGTATTGCAACATTATTAAAGGGGTGATTTTGCTCTTCTGCTCTACACTACTCTACAGTACTCTAATCTCTTTTAATCTACACTAACACTACTCTATACTACACTACTCTACTCTACTGTTTTCTGCCTGAAATATTCTCGCGCCCAAGTTACCTATAGGATTAAATTACCCTTTTAACCTCCTAGGTATCTAATATTTACATTTCGGCGCCCAATTTATCACTGTTAAGGAAAATATACCTTTGCCCCACGCATAAAAATAGTCCTTTATAGGTTCTGTATAAATTTTCGATCAAGCATCGGGCAGCCAGACTGAATCAGATATACAGCGACTGATTTTATCGGTGCGTATTATTCAATTTCGAGCCCTTTTTTCCGTCGATTTCGCCGCGAATAAATCATAATAATATAAATGATGGGCGATATCAATCACGAATCGACGACGCGGCGGTAGGAAAGGTGTTTGTAGCGCGATAGGATTTTTCAAGTCCGCAGACTTGGCAGTCGCTGCGGTTCCAGCTCAGCGGCGCAGAAAAAGGCGCTTTTATATAATTACAAAGTAAACATTTGTAGGATTTATCGTTCGAACCGGTACTAATGAAACCCATTAGCTGTTGCGTAATTGTTGTACAAACAAGAGCCGAAGTTTGCGCTTTAAAACGCGCAGAAAGTGTCGAACGCTTTCCTTAAAAAACTAATTAATTAACGTGCTCGTAAACATCCTATCGTCGTGTTTTATTAAAAAATACTTAAATTTATTTTACGACTAATAATAGGCGTTTATTGACGAATTAAAAGAAGAAAGTCTCCGCGGGGTCAAGCTCGTCGATTGTGACTTATGCGTACAAGCGAAATCTTCTCCGCGAGAAATTAAAAAACAAACATTAAATTGCAAATTGGAATCCGACTGAATCGAATCCGCTAATAGAATCATTCGCTCAGACAACGAAACCGTACGAGAAGAACCGGCGAAGGAGAAGCGCCTGTCGTATTTAACCCGTGATTTATTGTTCAGAAATATTTCTCTTTCCATCCCGCAGGTCGAAGCCAGAACCTCTTGCAAACAACGCGCTTAAGATAAACAGTTTTATACACAATTTCCCGGCCGTTTTTTTTCCGTTTTCCATTAACGAAGCTTCCTTGAGAACCGCCATTGTTCAGCACTCTCCGATCGCGTAGATGATTTAGTGTATATTACACATTTAAAATCAATGATACAACAACAGCCCGAAACAACGCCGACCTTCTAAGGATCGATGAGATCACGCTCGAGTATTAAAAGTTTAACAGCATCGAAAATCTCGAGGTTATTGTGAAGAAAAAAAAAATGTCGAACAACGCGTTGAAGCGCGACAACGCGAGCTCCTCGGCGAACGTGCTGATGTGCCGCCAATGGTGGAAGGTGTGCTGGATGTACGGCGACCAGGAGAAGTACTACAGGCAGCTCTACGGCAGGAAAACCGACGGCGATAAGAAGAAGAAATCGCCGCAGCCGTTCCAGAATTTCTACGAGAACGCGCTGGCCGATCAGCGCAACGCCGATGAGATCAGGGCGACGCCGTCGCCCAACGGGAACGGCTCCCCGGCGTTGGGCAGCTTGGACATCGCCGCGGATTTCGAGTAAGTTTCGTGCGAATTTGTTGAATTTACGTTGAAAGGAAGATGGTTCTGAAATGCACTGAAAGTGATTGGTTTCCATACAAGGTCTCGCTACCTGGCCCGAAAAAAGGTCATAACCAAATTGGCTACTGGTTATTATATATCGGGTCAATTTTCAGAGACGAGATAAATTTAAAGATATATTCAAGCTAGTGTTGTCGTATCCTTAGTTTTTTCTTATCAAATATCTATAGTACCTACTCTACATAATTTTATTGTTTATAAGATTTTCGTGAGCAAGTGTAGGATGCATTCGCAAGGCAATTTGTCACCATCAGGATGAAATATCGTCCGGAATCCGGACGGGGTTGTTGAATTAAGCGAATTTTCGTCGGTCATTTTTTATTCAATTTGTACGTTTTTCTAATATTTTGCGCTCCCCGTATCCTCTCCGGGACTTCTTGCCTTCGTTTCGACTCCGACTGTTGTCAGAAATGATTGATGCAAAAGTTCTCCCTTTCTCGTTTGCCCCCTGAAAGTTTCTTGCGTGTACGTAAGCTTTAGGTGCTTATTTTAATTATTTCGCGAACTTTAATTAGTCGAGGTGCTTTTATTGCTGCAGCTTTAGTAAATAATATTTTTTGTTGTTAATTAATGTTTCCCTGTTTCTCTTGCTCCGCCATCGAATCGTTAATTTGATTGAATTAGCCATTCAGACACACCGAGTGCACTTAAATGTGGTTTCGATAAGGCGAAATTAAATTAAATTTATGTAAATAGCGCTATTCCACATTAAGAGGCCATTATTTATCTTACTCGCATTAGCTGCCCAAAAAAAAGGAGCAAACATTGTAGTAGTAGATAATTATTACCTTTCCCGTTTGGATATGAGCCACTTGTTTAATCGCTACTAATAAATCCATTCGTTTTTTTTTTTACTTTTTTCTCTAACTCATATCATAAACGTAACTGATCTTATTCAAAAAGGGATTCATTTTACCCACATTTCCTTAAACTCTTCCATACATTCTAATCAATACTCTAGTTATACGGACAAGCAGCCATTTAATTTACTCGTCGTTAGAGCCTCTTTAAAAGGACCCTTCCGAAAGACAATGGAAGCGACGCCTCTGTGAATCAGTCAGCAATCTCGGAGATAGAGCCTCATTAACTGCGGTATTATAATTAAGAATAACGAATGGCCGAAGAACGAGTAATTCAAGACTAATAAATTTTTTGATGCACGGGGGGAATTGATGGGTAAGAGCGGTCGCTCGGAATGTAACCTTTATTGGCCTTCGACCAATCGGCGCGCGAACCAATTCGCTTTCGATCCGATAAAGTTTTTATTAGGCAAAATTCGCGTTGTCTAATTTATCATGAAGAAATTCCTGGTACCTTTATAATTTTTGTAATAATGGCCTTTGATTTTATAATTCTGAATTTTCCCATACACCATGAGTTAGTGTATTCTAATTCGAAGAAACGAGCAAGCTTTAATTATAGTGCACCTTTTTAACTTAACAGACTTTAAAACTAATTAAATTTGTAGAATTATTTGTAATTAAATTAAATGAAATGCTTTAGACGTTTTCCAGCGAACAAAAAAGCACCATTTCGTGATGTACACAGCATTGCACATACATTAAATACATGCGTTTCCTGTTTCGAGAATCCAACGATACATAAAACAATGCGAGTTCACACATAAGATTACAGCGTTGTTATTTATCGAAAGGTGAACTAACTTTGGACAATCTGGAGCCAATAAGCGCGTCGATTTCGTGTCCCAGGAGCGGACGATTCATCAAATAATTACGCGGAGCGGTCGCATTCGAAGGAATTGAAATTAATTTTCGACTACAGATCGAAGATAAACGCCGACTGTGTAGGTAACGCGGCCACGATGACAGTCGGATTTTATTTACGTTGGAATTCTCATGCTTACCACGCCGATTCCTGCCGAGCGTTTAACACGGAAAAATTCCCTCGCGCTGGAAAAAAGCCCGGACAGTAGGCTCTTGAATATTCATGTGCGCGCGGAGGAAATTTACGAGCTGAAATCCTGCGATATTATTTACCGGAGCTTCTACTCTCCAAGCGTTTTTGAAGATGCTTACGGGACTAATTGAATGATTCCGTAACTATTTCCTGCGATTAGCGGCGGTAAAAAAGGCGCCCGGCAGATTGCACAGGTCGAGCGCCGGGGAATTTATAAGGCGTTACCTCTAACTCCTAGAAAATTGCGAGCAATTTCGATAAATGATATGGAGAAGGCATACTGAAAAACTGGTCTAGGAATCGATCGCCCGGCCGTCGGATTTTTTTCGCCTGCGCTCATAATAATTTCTCTGTTGTTGCCTCGTTTCGTATCGCGAACATGCCGTTTATAACATAACTTACAGTTAGGTTAAGAAAATAGAATTAAAATTCGTAAAAAATCGCTTCGAGTGCGGTCTAACCTCGGACAGTTACTCAAACATCTGGTGGGTATCTCGTAAATTACAGATTAAAATCGACATGTTTGTAGTATCTAAAATTCTTCTAAAACACTGGTGTAAGTACAAGAACTCTCATCGCCAGTGTAATAGACTTATAACTGACAATAATCAAAATTCAAGCGTCTTTATTTCCATTGTTTATATGCTCGTTGCGAGCAATTATTGCTCGAACGGAAAATCGATTCTTATAAAGGCATTTTCAAGGTGCATTAGTTCGATTGGACGTAATGCATGATGGTGAGTGATGTTTCAACAAATCGACCATATCGATGGACTGTCGGGATTTTTTCTTTCCCGATGGCTCGGCCTCTCGGTGATTAATGAACTGAAAAGTCGAAGGCGATTGCGGATGATTTACCGGGGCTGGACTCTTTCCACCGGCTTTGTCAGCGACTTTTAAGGAATTTGTATAAGCGCACAAAGGGCCCAATTACTCATCCAAATGCGCAGTAATGAAATGTTTGTGTGTTTCTAGAAATCGAAATTTGATGAAAAATTGCGTAACAATGCAACGAAGGGTCGTTAAAAATTTTATAACCGCTAAACTATTGACGTTAACTGAAGGCAATCGTGATACGAGTTGTAAATTCAATTCGGACTGTTATTGCCCTTCTCGCGTACTTAATTTATGGACGGTACTTCAAGCCGCCGGTTTTTCTAAGCTAGAACGAATAGAAGCAATTTGATTTTTTTCCACCGAACGATCCGAATCTCTCGCTGACATTCGCTGGAACGAAACAAAGTAGAACGAACCGCCATTAGCGAGGAGAGTTTTAATTTTCGAAAAATTCATTTGCATGAAGGACCGAAGAACTCCGCCGGTTCTGTTATGTACGAACGATGAATTATGCTCGGCCCTCGAGGAATTCCCGGAGACACGCAACGTCTTTTGAGATCGTAGATCACCGACGACGATATCTAAACAATGGGATGCTAAACGGTTTTTGAAGAGCACGACGGCGATGTTCAATACGCACGCCGAAATAAAACGCTCTGTGGGCATTATAAATAAATTAACCACGCGGAGATTCGTCGGTAGCCTGGAAACGGAATCGAAATTATTATGTAAATTCGGTATACGGTGAAGAGCTGGCAGATGGAACGTCGGTTCTGATGGCTTTCACAAACACTACACGGAGATGTTGTGAAAGTGACGGTATATTTATTCATACGGTTTTGTTGGCCGTGTTTCTCCACCGAGCAGCTCGTTTTACAGGGGTCGAAGGACTTGTAGAAATCCAAAATAAAGCCGCAGAAGACCTGATTCATTGATCAAACACTAAGGTCCCTTAAACAGTCTCTTTAACCTCATAGTTTTGCATTGTTGTTTGGAGTAACTATGCACATTGTTCGTTGAATAGATAGAGGATGGATTTCTCCAATATTTTTTTTTTGGTTAGATGGAAGAAACGTGTGGTTTGAATATTTTTGTAGCAGGTACAGCCGCCCTCGTAACGTCCACGAAACACCTGCTTTGAAACGGGCCCCAGCCAGTGGAGAGGACGCCCGTAGAAAACGCACGATATAAAAATATTTACAAACCGCTCGGTCAATATGTTTGTTCTATGCTGTACGGCGCGGAACATGGAACACATTATTATGTCGTTCGGACGGTCGATTAGTATGCCGAGGAATTTCCCTTTGTGATGGGTTCTCGAGAATCGCTCGACGTCCGAACGTTCGGGCATTTTAATTCATTCAAAATCGCTTCGGAATAAACCAGAATCTGGCGTTTGTTTATGCGCCACTGTTCGTCCGAAAAATCGCGTTTTAAAACGTTTAAAAACCAAATATTTACCGGCTACTCGTAGGAATTTCGCCCGTTGAACCTAATTGAACTCTCAATAACTTTTTTTCTGTCGAGTCCATCTAGCAAAGTATGTCGATTTCGATGCTTTTAAGTTCAATGAGTGAAACGATGAGAACCTTTTTAGATAGTCGAGACGTCGAATGGACGGTTCTTGTCCGGCAGCGGCGGTGCGGCGTGTTCTATGTCGAATATTATCGTTTCCGATCGTTGTTTATGCGGCTTCGAGCGCTGGAATCGTTGCACGCGGGATTATTCGAATTCTTCCCGCGGTTTTATGGACGGAGGAGTCGCCGTTCCGACGGGATTTATCGCTCGAAATGACCGTTTGAGTGTAACCCGAGTAAAAGTTTGTTTGCTCCGCCGGCATATCTCCATTATTCCCGGGTTTCTTCGGCTGTGAAAGTGAACGGTCTTTTTTCCACTCGAGGAGCAATCGCGGTAAAAATCCTCCCTCGCGCTAAAAGCGAGGGCGTTCATTTTCCTGCGCTCCTTAAAAGCCAATTAACTTGCGAACTTCGGCTCGTTATTTTTATTTCCCACTTTGTTCCTCGCCCGCTAATTTATTGATACAAATCTTTCGGAATTTCGAACGATTTTGAGCGTTATTAAAGCGCAAAAAAATCGGAAACGTGATTTATTTAGTCGGAAGATTTCCCGAGGAAATGTATAAACCGTTCCGGTGGTTCCATAAACTTCGTTTATGTATGGAG